AAATGTTGCTGAGTGCTGTGCTGTGCTCATGATAGATGACTTGATTTGTACCCGTAGGCGTCCATCATGAAACACAGATTACAAAACAGATGTAACAACGAACAACACATTGGAGAGAAAGAGAATTATTAAACGGACTCAAACAGGATAATAAACCTGAAATATCGTCTCTTTGTTATCCAGCAGTGAGGGAGGTCTTTTACCTGCTGTTCTGTAAAGTGTCTCCTGATAACATGTGGTATGAATTATCTCTGTACACATAAAGATTGATCGATGTTATGACTGTGAGTCGTGTGTGTGTGTGTGTTGACTGACTGAGATGTTTGTGTGATTTAGTAAATATTGTGTCATGTAGATTTAATGAAGCGGTCAGGTATGGTTGAAGGGGAGAGAAGCCTTTTCTTTGAATCTTTTTCTCCTGTAACTCAGTTAGAGAGGTCATGAGGGCTCTGTCTTCTCTTTACTTAGTTGTTGAGTTTTGATACTTAGGAGGGTTTATCTTTATTATTTTGGCCCGTGCGCTACCTGAAGGTGATGGCGTCTCTCTGTTGTGTCATGGCTCCTCGGGGGGCCGCCAACCGGCAGACGGCTACATAAGATCTGACTCCCGTGCACCGGCTAATAAGAACTAGCTATGGTAACTTATCCTTTAGTTTCTACACCTGACACACCGAGCAGGAGACGGCAGTAAAGACAGAGACTCTCACTAAACTCTGATCTGTAGCACAGCCAATCACAGGACTGTGTTTAACCTTTGTAAATAAATATAAATAAATAAAATACTTTGAGCCTCAACAAAAGAGACTTTCTGTCACTGTTGGAACAAACAATAAAGTATCCATCTATATCCATCCATCCAGGTTAAAGTCCAAATGAAGAAGGACTGAGTTCAGTTCTTCACACTCCAGTCCGGTAGGGGGCGGTAAGAAGAAAAATGTACCGGAAGTAGCCGATTGTTTTGTTTCCGGGTCTTCGGGGCTCTTTGTCGCAGAGACCAGGGGTGCATCCGAATTGTCCCTCCTATCTCCTTCACTATCCACTTTACCTTAACCCCGCGAAAACGTCATGAGGTCAAGGAAAGGTGTTAGGAGAAGTCATAAAGGACTTAGGGAAAGGAGATCTCGTTGCTCCGACAATCCGACCACATTTCCACTAGGCCACGTCATTAAATGCGACGGGCCGGCGGAGGTTAATGACGTGGGTCTGCCGTGTTGAAACTACAATGTTCAGATAATGAACTACAAAAAGATCATCTAAAAAAACTCTTTCTGTGCTTCTTACCGGTGAAATAATCCTGATCAGCACGAGGAAGTGAAATTAAAGAAATATAGACTACCAGGCTACAAGTAAGAAAAGTGAAACCATCAGCTTCCTGTCCAATCAGAAATCAACATCAACATCAATATGATTGGATGAAATGAATTATTACATTTATGCAAGACAAGAATGTTCAACTGAAGAAATGCACAAAGCATTGTGAAGAGAATGAAATATGTTGAATCAAACATCCTCTGATAAAAATGTCTCTTATCTTTTATCTCTTTACGATCAACGTTCATGTTCCTGAACGGTCGGATGACGTCATAGCTCATCTCCTTTCCTAAAGGATGGTCCAGTGTATCCTAAAGGAGGTTATAAAGGAAGCACTGACCCACCTTTCCTTAACTTTTAGAGAATTCAAACGGCTCTTATCATGGCCGCCACTTAAATACTTCTGGGGTTTAAGGTGAAGTGGATCGTGAGAGGAGACAGGAGGGACAATTCGGATGCACCCCAGTAGTGGTGTGTGTGTGTGTGTGTTGTGTGTGTGTGTGTGTGTGTGTGTGTGTGTGTGTGTGTGTGTGTGTGTGTGTGTGTGTGTTGTGTGTGTGTGTGTGTGTGTGTGTGTGTGTGTGTGTGTGTGTGTGTGTGTGTCAGATGTCCGGCTTTCAGGAGGTGACAGATTGGAGAGAGCTGTCAGGACAAACAGCAACATGTGGATACGAAGAGGAGCTCCACCGACAAACACAAGTGCTGGATGTGATTTTAACACCGGAAATCAACACAGAGCAGGTTGGTTTGAGCCTTTAGCTAACGTTAGCATCCACACACAGCTAGCTCCGATCACACACGTCTTCACTCTTTATGGATTGAAGTTTATATCACACTGGAGGTGGAGATGTTGTTCTGATATAATATGACGTTGTAGTGGCTATTTGTCCAAAAACAACAAAACATCTAAATAAACTAAAATCAAAAACAATCAAATGAGCACTGATGCATCATGGGGGATGTGATGTAATCCAGTGTCCATGCAAGAACTGCGGTTTTTTGGTGGTTTATTTAAGAAAGCAAACAAAAAGAAAGTCGTGGCTCCTGCTGCCTCTCATTGGCCACCCAGGTGCATGCTGGTCCTCTACCTGCCTCTGGGGCCCACAGTGTTACCAAATACCGAACAAAATTACTAATGCAAAACTACATTTACTCAACAAATAACTAGCAAAAGAAAGTATTACCCCAAATCTTTTCTAAATAAAGAAAATGTGTAGAATAATTAAATAAACAGCACCACCCAAATATCAGTAAACTAAATACAACAACTAATTCTAACCACAATGAAATATCTCCAACAGAAGTGATTCAGTCTGAACATAATCACAGTAGAGCGGATATCCAGAACAACCTGTCTGCCTCCAGTGTGATATAAACTTAATACAACAGAGAAACAGAAAATAGTTCAGTATTAAAAATCAACTACTAATGCTAATACTAATACTAACGAGAGTGTTGGGTTAGTCAAACATCTTATGTTACTGTGAGAGAGAATGACATGAAAAAGGGAAAAGAGCCGCCTGCTTTAAGAAGTACAGCCTCCACTTGGGTTGCCACCTTCCAAGCAGAAAAATAAATGACACCCCTCAGCGGGGTGCATCTCAGCAGGGGCCTGACCACCACTGACCTCATGGAGGGGTGGGGCACCAGTTGTGGTGAATCATGATTTAAAACGTGGTTTTAATGAAGTAATAAGAGTCATACTTAAAGTTTTAAGTGCTTATTAACACTTTTTTTTCTGAAATAATTTACAAAAACACAAAACTTCAGTGTAAAGGCAGATACAGTAATGTATGCACAATTAAATGCACCTAACAGGACGTCAGCAGTTTTGAACTATTTTCTTAATTAAATGTCTACTGTCGATATATATTGATGTTGTATTGATGATATCTCGCCCAGGCCAAAATGTGAATACAGATTTAGCTAAAATAAATGTCATCTTTTTGTTTTATTGTTGTTTTATTCACACTATCCAAACTATACTGGAATAACCGATCTATAAACATGGGAGAAAATATATGAAGTAGGCCTACAATAGTTTCCTTTACATTATATTCATTTTCACTGACACTGTCAAGCCAGGCATTACTTTCTACTCACGTCTGTATTTCTGCATCCGTTTACGTTTCAATGGTGCGGGTCTCAGAGACACCTGCAGACATGTTTCCTTTTGACTCCTATGACTTTCTCTCACCCAATCACTAAAGAGCTCTCATTGTTCATGCCAAAAAAGAACCAAACAAACCAACGGACGCTCTGAGGAAGCGGGAACTAGCCGGCTGAATGCGGGCGGAATTATGCTGAGTTCAATTCAATTCAATTCAATTTATTTGTATAGCGTCAACTCATAAGTGTTATCTCAAGACACTTTACAAAAAGCAGGTAAAATACCTTACTCATTGTTATGTTACAAAAAGCAGGTAAAAGACCTTACTCATTGTTATGATACAAAAAGCAGGTAGAAGACCTTACTCATTGTTATGTTACATAAAGCAGGTAAAAGACCTTACTCATTGTTATGTTACAAAGATCCGGCCTATCCATCATGAGCACTTTAGCAAAGCAGCAAAAGTTACAGTGGTAAGAAAAAACTGTCTTATTAAAAGGCAGAAATCTTCGGCCGGATCCCCGGCTCATGACGAAACAGCCTTCACAGGCCTAGACTGCGGCGGGGTTGGAAGGGGATAGGGGGAGAGATGGGATAAGATGCAGGAAGAGGGATAGGGAGCAAGGGGGGGGAGGCAGGCCGTCCATCAACAATCCGGTGGGGGGGGGGGGGGGGGGGGGTGCATATTCAACTTCAAGGCATATTGGGAATATGGGACAAACTGCGTCCCGTACTGATTCAAAACGGGACGCAATATCAAAGTGTAAAATACGGGACGATTCCGTATTTTACAGGACGGGTGGCAATGTGTACATGAGGCACACACACTAACCACTGGACCACCTGAGCACATGTTGACACCTCATTTGACCAATAAGGGCTTTACGTTCACTGTTCCTAGGCTGCTATAGCCAATGAGAGCCCCGCCATGGCTGGCATGCCGGTTTGTTTCAGAGAGAGTACACGTTGGAGAGAAAAGTTACCACTTACCAGGATCACTGAGATCTTTTATTAAAGGTGCAGAGATTTGACATTCAAAAAGAACATGATGGACCGCTCTCCGCTGTATAAATGTGACATTTAGGGGGAATCTAGAAAAAAAAAACACAATAAAATTCAATATCACAATTAAAGATTTGTATCAACATAAGTCACAGCTTCCTCCATGTGTCTTTGTGTCTTCAGTGTTTCCTGCAGACGTCCAGCAGCTGTCGGTGGTGAAGAAGATCCTCATGAGCAGCAGGAGGGGAGCTCCAGTCTGGACCAGGAGGACTCTGAGACTGTGCACATTAAAGAGGAACAGGAGGAACTGTGGAGCAGTCAGGAGGGACTGGAGGAGGCTGATATCAAGTTCCCCTTCACTCTGTCTCTGTGAAGAGTGAAGATGATGAAGAGAAACCTCAGTCCTCACAGCTTCATCACAGACACACTGAAGAGATGGAAACAGGAGCTGATGGAGAGGACTGTGGAGGAGCAGAACCAGAGAGGGACTCAGATCCAGAGAGAGGTTTATATCCAGAGATTGAGGTCAAGACTGAAGACTCATCTGACCCTGAGACTGATGACAGTGATGATTGGAAAGAGACAGAGAACATCATTCAGGTGTAAACTCTGTGGAAAAGATTAAAGCTCAGAGAACAAAGACTCATAGCTGCTCTGAGTGTGGGAAAACATTCATAAGGAAGAGGAATCTGAGCCAACACATGATGATTCCACGGGAGAGAAACCGTTCTGCTGCTCTGAGTGTGGTAAAAGCTTCACAACAAGGGACATTGAGCAGACATTTGATCACTCATAGCAGAGAGAAACCATTCAGCTGCTCTGAGTGTGGTAAAAAGTTTAACCATAAAGAAAGTATGACAGACACATGGTCATTCATACAAGGGAGAAACCGTTCAGCTGCTCTGAGTGTGGTAAAAGATTTAACGACAAAGCTAATCTGTCAAACACATGAGAATTCACACGGGAGAGAAACTCTTCAGCTGCTCGGAATGTGGAAAATCATTTCAACAAAAGTCTCATCTGAAGTTCACATAGCTCATAACCAAGGGGAGAAACCCTTCAGCTGCACTGACTGTGACAAAACCTTCTCTTGGCCCTTTCAGTTAAAAAAACACAAGTGTGCTGGCCGTCAGGCTTCAGGGCGTCAGAGACCAGAAACAGGAAGTGATGGAAATGTTTGTGGAGAACCAGAAGAAGACAGGATTAAGACGAAGAGAGACAATGACATCCAGAGACTGAAAGTAGAGACTCCTCTGACTGTGAGACTAAACACAGCCATGAACATCAGTCAGGTTTACAGGAACAAATAATGAATTTTAATGTTTCCCTCACATTCATTTGAGGGGCGACTCTAAAAGAAAGGTACAAAATATTTATCCACCTGCACGCCGTTTCCCAGGTGCCGATACATGTCAAATCTGGAAGTAATAAGTGAGGCCACGATCACTACAATGGATTCTCTTGACTTTATGACCACATCTCCTTTGCGACTCTTCAAGTCCTGCAGTGTGACCTTCAGGAGTTGAACATTGACCCTCAACGTCCCATCTGCTTCATCACGCCGCCTTCACTTAGTCAACGACTAAACCAAGTACAGTCCAGCTATTGGTCCAATGTGAGTTTACATCCTTCACTAGTCTAAGCGCTGCTCCTGACATGCTGCATGTTATAAATGTGGAGCGGTCGTTGGGATTCCTCCGCTTCTTTCAGAACGCCACACGCCACGTCATTACCTCATCACCTTTTCAACACCTGCTCATGAAAACGAGGATCATTCTCAGCCTCTCTTGATATAAATATCAACTCATTAATGTTGAATGCAGGTCTGAAAAGCACTCGTACTTTTAATCCTCTTCCTCAAGCAGCATGTCCACGTCTTCAGAAGGTCATTGGCTGCAGGGTGTAGAAACATCGGCAGGCTGACATTGGTTATTCCAGGCCAGCAGCAGTGAATAGAAACTCCTGATTGGCCAAATGAAAGATTGGATTGCGGTCTCCATTTTGATCTATCTTACTTACACACAAAGAATCCTAAAAATGAATGATTACAGGAGAATACAGAGGAGGAACCGGGGTCAGGGCTGTCAGATCTGGATCAGCCCGTGGATCTTGATGGACGTGTTTGGACGTGGGGAATCGTTCTGATGCAGCAGGAACGTTTCTGTTGGAGTCTTCTGATCAGGAGAGTTCAGTTCATCTTCAAGTGTGAATCAGAAGACGGTCAGAAGAGTCGACAGATGTGTAGAGTGTGGCTGCTGTGCGGGCCGTCATGCCTGTGCAGATTTAGTTTAAAGTTACTTTTGTCTTTATTTGAGAGGGGGATGACATGCAGCAAAGGTCAGAGGTCGGATTAAAACCCGCGTGCGCTGCGTTCAGAGCTATAGCCTCTGTAAAAGCGCTTGGCTATCCGACGCCCGTGCGTGTGCAGATCTGAACAGGTAAAGATGGACTGTACATTCTGCGAGGCCGTTGGAGCTCCGGCATCTCGACCGAGTCCCTCCGGTCTCATTTCAGTTTTTGAGTTTTGATCATTTGGTTGATTCTGTGTGTAGATCAATAAATACACGTTTCCCCTCAGCAGCCTCTACCATCAGTGTGTGAATGTGTGTGAGTGGATGAGTTAATACTGATGGACTCTTTACTCAGCGGCCTCTACCATCAGTGTGTATGAATGGATGAGTTAATACTGATGGACGCTACTCAGCGGCCTCTACCAACAGTGTGTATGAATGGATGAGTTAATACTGATGGACTCTTTACTCAGCGGCTCTACCATCATGTGTGAATGGATGAGTTAATACTGATGGACTCTTTACTCAGCAGCTCTACCATCAGTGTGTGAATGTGTATGAATGGATGAGTTAATACTGATGGACTCTTTACTCAGCGGCCTCTACCATCAGTGTGTGAATGTGTATGAATGGATGAGTTAATACTGATGGACTCTTTACTCAGCAGCCTCTACCATCAGTGTATGAATGGATGAGTTAATACTGATGGACTCTTTACTCAGCGGCCTCTACCATCAGTGTGTATGAATGGATGAGTTATACCGATGGACTCTTTACTCAGCAGCCTCTACCATCAGTGTGTGAATGTGTGTGAATGGATGAGTTAATACTGATGGACTCTTTACTCAGCGGCCTCTACCATCAGTGTGTGAATGTGTGTGAATGGATGAGTTAATACTGATGGACTCTTTACTCAGCAGCCTCTACCATCAATGTGTGAATGTGTGTGAATGGATGAGTTAATACTGATGGACTCTTTACTCAGCAGCCTCTACCATCAATGTGTGAATGTGTGTGAATGGATGAGTTAATACTGATGGACTCTTTACTCAGCAGCCTCTACCATCAATGTGTGAATGTGTGTGAATGGATGAGTTAATACTGATGGACTCTTTACACAGCAGCGGTGTTAAAACATTTTGAGTAGTCAGAAACGAGAAAACAAATATAGCTCAAGCTCATGTCCATTTATTATTTATGACTCTAAATGCATCGGGCTCAAACTGACTGCTGATTTTATTTGTCAAAGCATGCAGCGACACCAGGTGAGTAAAAGGGGCTTTAAATTGGAATTGGCTTGTATTTGAAGTTTTAGGGTAATGTGGTTATGAGGTAACAGACATAATGAGTAAGGAAAATGATGATCAAATCCTATCAGAGAATAGTTTGTTATTCCAAGGCTGGCTCACTATGCACCCTCTGTGAAATCTGGAATAAGATGAAGAAACTGTTGGAATCTCTTCACAGCAGTAGAGGGCAGCAACACGCCGAAGAGGCATCTAATCTGCCTAAACATAGAAGAAGAACCACCATTTCAAAAGGGAAGAAGCAGTAGAGTTGTACGCCATTTTAGTTGCATTAGAATGTGTTGAGCAAACGAAAGGAAGGAAAGTGCTGATATGCAGTGATTCAGTCAGCACTTTATACAGTATTCAATCAGGATCATCTCACAGTCGTCAAGATGTATTATATGAAATCATATTTACACATTCCCAGGTGGTTAAACAGGGGACAGATGTGATGTTCATGTCTTACTCTCTCACGTAAATAAACCGAAATAAACAGTTCCACAGCGCCCCTACAGGCCTGGAGCACTTCCGTTTATGGATTAACTTGCAGCGTTTCTGTGTTTGCAGTTGTTTTCTGGTTGTGTGTGTTTTGACTTTAGTTTCGTTTCTGTACTTGCAGCGCGTTTGATGCTTATGCAATTGTTTTGCCTATTTGCAGTGCGTTTGTGTCTTTGCTGCGCGTTTGTGTCTTTGCAGCGTGTTTGTGTCTTTGCAGCGTGTTTGTGTCTTTGTGTCTTTGCAGTGTGTTTGTGTCTTTGTGTCTTTGCAGTGTGTTTGTGTCTTTGCAGTGTGTTTGTGTCTTTGTGTCTTTGCAGTGTGTTTGTGTCTTTGCAGCGTGTTTGTGTCTTTGCAGCGTGTTTGTGTCTTTGCAGCGTGTTTGTGTCTTTGTGTCTTTGCAGTGTGTTTGTGTCTTTGCAGCGTGTTTGTGTCTTTGTGTCTTTGCAGTGCGTTTGTGTCTTTGCAGTGCGTTTGTGTCTTTGCAGCGTGTTTGTGTCTTTGCAGTGCGTTTATGTCTTTGCAGTGTGTTTGTGTCTTTGCAGTGTGTTTGTGTCTTTGTGTCTTTGTGTCTTTGCAGTGTGTTTGTGTCTTTGTGTCTTTGCAGTGTGTTTGTGTCTTTGCAGTGTGTTTGTGTCTTTGCAGTGTGTTTGTGTCTTTGCAGTGCGTTTGTGTCTTTGCAGTGCGTTTGTGTCTTTGCAGTGCGTTTGTGTCTTTGCAGTGTGTTTGTGTCTTTGCAGTGCGTTTGTGTCTTTGCAGTGTGTTTGTGTCTTTGTGTCTTTGCAGTGTGTTTGTGTCTTTGTGTCTTTGCAGTGTGTTTGTGTCTTTGCAGTGTGTTTGTGTCTTTGCAGTGTGTTTGTGTCTTTGCAGTGTGTTTGTGTCTTTGCAGTGCGTTTGTGTCTTTGCAGTGTGTTTGTGTCTTTGTGTCTTTGTGTCTTTGTGTCTTTGCAGTGCGTTTGTGTCTTTGCAGCGTGTTTGTGTCTTTGCAGTGCGTTTGTGTCTTTGCAGCGTGTTTGTGTCTTTGCAGTGCGTTTGTGTCTTTGCAGTGTGTTTGTGTCTTTGTGTCTTTGCAGTGTGTTTGTGTCTTTGCAGTGTGTTTGTGTCTTTGCAGTGCGTTTGTGTCTTTGCAGTGCGTTTGTGTCTTTGCAGTGCGTTTGTGTCTTTGCAGTGTGTTTGTGTCTTTGCAGTGTGTTTGTGTCTTTGTGTCTTTGCAGTGTGTTTGTGTCTTTGTGTCTTTGCAGTGTGTTTGTGTCTTTGCAGTGTGTTTGTGTCTTTGCAGTGTGTTTGTGTCTTTGCAGTGTGTTTGTGTCTTTGCAGTGCGTTTGTGTCTTTGCAGTGTCTTTGTGTCTTTGTGTCTTTGTGTCTTTGTGTCTTTGCAGTGCGTTTGTGTCTTTGCAGCGTGTTTGTGTCTTTGCAGTGCGTTTGTGTCTTTGCAGTGTGTTTGTGTCTTTGTGTCTTTGCAGTGTGTTTGTGTCTTTGTGTCTTTGCAGTGTGTTTGTGTCTTTGCAGTGTGTTTGTGTCTTTGCAGTGTGTTTGTGTCTTTGCAGTGTGTTTGTGTCTTTGCAGTGCGTTTGTGTCTTTGCAGTGTGTTTGTGTCTTTGCAGTGTGTTTGTGTCTTTGCAGTGTGTTTGTGTGTTTGTGTCTTTGCAGTGCGTTTGTGTCTTTGCAGCGTGTTTGTGTCTTTGCAGTGTGTTTGTGTCTTTGTGTCTTTGCAGCGTGTTTGTGTCTTTGCAGTGTGTTTGTGTCTTTGCAGTGCGTTTGTGTCTTTGCAGTGCGTTTGTGTCTTTGCAGTGTGTTTGTGTCTTTGCAGTGCGTTTGTGTCTTTGCAGTGCGTTTGTGTCTTTGCAGTGCGTTTGTGTCTTTGCAGTGCGTTTGTGTCTTTGCAGTGCGTTTGTGTCTTTGCAGTGTGTTTGTGTCTTTGTGTCTTTGCAGTGTGTTTGTGTCTTTGCAGTGTGTTTGTGTCTTTGCAGTGCGTTTGTGTCTTTGCAGTGCGTTTGTGTCTTTGCAGTGCGTTTGTGTCTTTGCAGTGTGTTTGTGTCTTTGCAGTGCGTTTGTGTCTTTGCAGTGCGTTTGTGTCTTTGCACTTGTTATGGTAGTTTGCATTTGCTTTTGGATGTGCAGCATTTCTATATATGCTGCGTGTTTTTCTAAATGTATGTCGTTTCATTAGTTGCTGAGCGTTTGACCCCTACCGGCCACCGTAGTTTATGGGTAGTGTTCCATTTCTATTTTGAACTATTTTTTCTGGTATTTTCTGATTCCATTTACATTTGTGAATAAAATATTTCCCATACAAAAGAAACAAGTGTAACATAAATCATTGCTCACTGTCAGTCCCACTCCTTATATTGAACATTTAAACCAGTCTTTGTTTTAAAGAAGAGGTCTAACTCGAACCGAAATATGTGAGTATGAAGACATTCATAAAATAAGTGAACAATGCTTTTAATTTTTTAGTTACAATAAAAACGACTTTTCTCCACCTCTGAATCTGATTGCAGTGTTTCCCCTAGGTTTACAGCGTTGGGGGGGTGGGGCCGCCCCCCCAATATAATGGTAGGGGAAACACTGTGAACATATGTGTCTATAGAGAACAAACCATATGGCGTATTTTTTTTAGCCCATCCCGGAAGAAACGAGAATTCTCCTCTGGGATGTTTTCATTGGATTTTGGATCATTAATAAATAATCTCTGTGTCAAACACACGTTTCTGAAGCGTAGGCGTTTTGTTCAGCAGGATGATCTTCACAGATGAACGCCATTTTTATGATGTTTGAAGAGTTAATGCGGCCGACAGAAGTAAAAAGCTAACGTTATGCTACAAGCTAACTACACCACGGTGGGATGGTTGTGACATCACTAGCGTTATGCTTCAGACGATCTCCGATAAACTAATCCACGTAGCTTAATAAATAGTTTACTAACATAATATTCACCTGAACCTAAAGATTAAACCTACAGGAGACATCTCTGACTAGTGAGAGAGTTCCCGCCCTCTGTGTCCGGCGTGATGACCTTTAATGACCCCGACAACCACTGTAGTCACATTTAGCCTCTTGTTAGCAACCGCCTTTTTAAAGACGAGTAAAAACTTCAAACTTCACAAGTGGAGGTATTACCTAACGTAGTTTATGTGCTCTAACAAAACATCAACATCTCTTCAGCTTGTGTTAACCACAGACCTTATTTCAGGAGTCTAACCACAAACACATTCAAAATCCCCGCTGACTTTTAGACCTTAGACCCCATGGCGCTAGTTGTGAATTTTAAAGGTGAAGTCTCTCTTTGTAGATGTCGTCATGAATCTGGAGATTAGTTTATGCGTTCAGCTTTTTGACTCTTTTCCATTTCTTATCAGTGTCATGCGACACCCACTGAGACTGAAATCTTTTATTAAAGGTGCAGAGATTTGACATTCAAAAGAGAACATGATGGACCGCTCTCCGCTGTATAAATGTGACATTTAGAGGGAATCTAGAAAAAAAAACAATAAAATTCAATATCACAATTAAAGATTTGTATCAACATAAAGTCACAGCTTCCCTCCATGTGTCTTTGTGTCTTCAATGTTTCCTGCAGACGTCCAGCAGCTGTCGGTGGGTGAAGAAGATCCTCATGAGGAAAAAAATCTAAGCCAAAACATGATTATTCAGACGGGAGAGAAACCCTTCAGCTGCTCTGAGTGTGGTAAAAGATTCAACAGCAAAGGACATATGAGCAGACATTTGATCACTCATAGCAGAGAGAAACCATTTAGCTGCTCTGAGTGTGGTAAAAAGTTTAACCATAAAGAAAGTATGACCAGACACATGGTCATTCATACAAGGGAGCTGCTGCCTTAAAGAGACAGCAGCTAAAACTGTTTCACGCAGAAGCTGAAATGAGGGATTTTCCTGGCATCAGAAAGCTTCTCTGTAGGTTTTACAGCTCTTAAAGTCATGAAGTCAGTCGTCACAAAGTCGGAACACCCAGCTGATGCACTCTGAGCTCTCCGTGGAGCAACCAGCTCCAACCTTGACCTGCCGTCAGCCGTGCTGCACAGAGGTGGAGACAGAGTCAGCAGGACGCACAGAGCGCACATCCAATGACGAATAAGAAAGTCAGAGCGCATTACTTTGATCATGACAGTGAGTCTCAGATGCCACCATGCTAACCCAACGGATTCAGGACGCCAGAGCGCAGCAGCCATCGCGGAAGGTCACTCAAGTGATGGGTTTGACTCCGGGTCAATGCTCTCCATGATGTCTCAAGAATATCTCTTGGAGATTTTGGTACAAATATCCCTTTTGTAAGATTAGAGGAATTTTATGTTGTTTTTTTTTCCTTTATTTGTTTCAAATAAAATGTATATCAATTGTGAATGTTGTTGTGTAGATTATTCCTTCACTTGGCAGTTTGGGTACCGAAGGAATGAGATCATGATGAACGCAGCTGACATGAGTTTCCTCTGGAGGGTGTCTGGGCTCAGGACGTTCTGGGGGAGCAACAAGACTCCATACAACATCAAACAAACAGGATCATATCAACACTGTCTGTCAGGAATCAGAACATGAAATGTTAGAAATAATCCAGAGACAGGGACGACAGATGGAAATACGCCTGTTACAGTCTACGGCTACAGTCTGGTGAATGTTTATGTTCATTAATGTGGACTGTCCTCATTTTAGAATAATAAATACATATATAGAAAGGAGGACATCTGGAAGTTTAAAGACGGGGAACTAACTTTAAAAATGTAGTAGTCCACTTTGTCATGTACTCAGAGGAAAGAAAATGTAACTCCGTTTCACACTCCGACACAGCAGGTGGCGGTGAAGCTCCCAAAGGCCGAGTGCCACCCGCCGGAAACTGGAGAAGTTCACCGGAAGTAGATTCTAGTTGTTTTGGTTGAAGACTCCGTACGCGGTTAGCATGTCTGGCCGACAAAGAAAAGATCTGGATGTGATTTTAACACCGGAAATCAAGCTGCACAGAGCAGGTTGGTTTGTTTGAGTTTCCTGTAAATGTAGCAGCTGAGCCTTTAGCTAACGTTAGCATCCACACACAGCACAGTGTTAGCCGCAGCTAGCCCCCGATCACTCAGCTGTTTACTGTTTCTGGACTTTCAAAGTCTTCAGTGACTCTTCTCTGGTGTTATAATGAGTCTCATGGAGCTTCATCAGAACAGTAAATCAGCTGTGATAACACATGAAGTGTTCAACTCGAGCTACCTGTGAGTAATGAGAGTCTTTAGCATCGTGTTGTTTCCACTCCTCTACATCTCAGAGTCACACGAAGAAGAAGAAGAAGAAGAAGAAGAAGAAGAAGAAGAAGAAGAAGATCTTCACAACCTAAACACCTCTTTAAGGTTTCTAACACGTCGATATGATCACAGGTAGTTTCAGTGATTTGGAGACTGATATGAGGCCTCCTCCACATTTTGCTAAGAGGAATGATTTTTTGAACAACAAAATTTCAGGTTACAAAGTCAAATGAAGGAATTGAAGATTGATGGAACCTTAAAAATATAATAATATTGGACGTCCCAATTCCTAGCATGTTTGGCCATCTTAAAAGTCCAATCAGTGAGCTGTGTAGAGAGTGAGATGATAAAGGTATCTTACTCTCTGATCATTAAGGAAACATGTTATGTTGAAGTGCTGGCTTCTCTGACAACAATGCAGCAGCCAGTATGTCCTCCTTCTAACTTTAGATTCTGCTCCTGAATGCTCTGGATTTGTTTGGACCAGAGAAGGTAGGCGCTTTTAAGACCCCCCAACGGCCGTTTTGGACGCCCCTCGGTTTGTCAGATATGAGAGCAGTTATCAGGTCAACAGGTGTTGCAGTGATGGAAGCGGTCAAGAGAAGTGGTTCAGATAGAAGTGATTGTACCCGACCTAAAAAGCCTCTGCATGTTTCTAATAAGCTCCACGAGCAGAAACGTGCTCAAACTAGGATCAATATTGGAGATGCTTTTGAAAAATGGAGAGAGGTTAGAACACAGAAAGGTTTACAGACCCATGCAGAGCTGGATAAACACTGAAGCTTCAGAGTCCACCACATGGTGACCTGAGTGAGCATCCACTCTACAGAGGAGGGGGGAGGGGGAGACACTATAGAGAGGGGGGGGACACTATAGAGAGGAGGGGGGAGGGGGGGAGACAGCTCTCTATGGTGTTTAGAATTTAGACTGCAGTACCCATTTTAAACACTAGGAGTCAGGGTGACAGATTTTTCCTTGAAGTTAAATGTGTAGTTGACAGGAGCCATGCACAACAAGTTGGCGAGAGTTAGCTATGAAGCTTATTGACATCTGAGGTCCCTGTGCAGGAGATCTGAGAGAGAAATATTACAAAACTAGTTTCTAACCGGGGGTCTGGGACTCTCTGAGGGGTGAACAATTGAAACCTCACAAACCTTTTCCTTTTCCAAAACTCCATTACATTCAGGTCAGTTCAGGTCTTTATTGTCCCTCGAAGGGGCCTCAGTCCTGCAAGTTAAAAAGTCCAAGACCCATTTCACCAACCCAGCATCAAGGTTAAAATTGGACAGACACATGAAACTGTCAAAGGTCAATAACGTTTTGTTTTCTCTTAAACTCATGGCTTTCTTATCTGTTTCTTTATTTCAGTGTTTCCTGCAGACGTCCAGCAGCTGTCGGTGGTGAAGAAGATCCTCATGAGCAGCAGGAGGGGAGCTCCAGTCTGGACCAGGAGGACTCTGAGACTGTGCACATTAAAGAGGAACAGGAGGAACTGTGGAGCAGTCAGGAGGAACTGGAGGAGGCTGATATCAAGTTCCTCTTCACTCCTGTCTCTGTGAAGAGTGAAGATGATGAAGAGAAACCTCAGTCCTCACAGCTTCATCACAGACACACTGAAGAGATGGAAACAGGAGCTGATGGAGAGGACTGTGGAGGACCAGAACCAGAGAGGGACTCAGATCCAGAGAGACGTTTATATCCAGAGATTGAGGTCCGGATTGAAGACTCTTCTGAACCTGAAACTGAAGATGGTGATGATTGGAAAGAGACCAGAGAACATCAGTCAGGTTTAAAGTCTGTGCTAAACATTAAAGATAAGAGAATGAAGACTGAGAGGAAATCAAATAGCTGTCATCAGTGTGGTAAAACATTTGAAAGGAAAGGTAATCTAGCTGACCACATGAGAATACACAGTGGAGAGAAACCCTTCAGCTGTTCTCTGTGCAGTAAAAGATTTGCCCGAAAAGCAAATTTGACCAAACACATGAGAATTCACTCAGGAGAGAAACCATTCAGCTGCTCTGAGTGCGGTAAAGGATTTAACGATAAAACGAATATGACCCGACACATGATAATTCATACAGGAGAAAAACTCTTTAAGTGCAGTGTTTGTGATCAAAGATTCTCTTGGTGTACTCAGTTAAAAAGACACAAGTGTGTTGGCTGTTCTGCTTCAGAGCCTCATGAGAACCAAACTGAGCTAAACAGAGAGGCAGAAACAGGAGCTGATGGAGAGGAAGAACAAGAGGGAGCCAGGAATTCTGATCTAGAGATTGAGGTCAAGACTGAAGACTTGTCTGAACATGAAACTGATGACAATGATGATTTAAAGGAGACCAGAGAACATCAGTCAGGTTCAAACTCTCTGGAAAGCATTAAAGATAAGAGATCAAAGACACATAGGTGCTCTGAGTGTGGTAAAACGTTCAAAAATATAGGACATCTGAATGAACATATGAGAACCCACACGGGAGAGAAACCGTTCAGCTGCTCTGAGTGCAGTAAAAGATTTAGTCATAAGGCAGACATGACCAGACATAGGAAAATTCATACAGGAGAGAAACCTTTTAGCTGCTCCGAATGTGGTAAAACATTTCACCAGAAGTCTCATCTGACACTCCACATGGCTCATCACAGAGGGGAGAAACCCTTCAGCTGCGCTGTTTGTGACAAGAGATTCATTTGGACCTTTCAGTTAAAAAAACACAAGTGTGTTGGTGGTAATTTCTCTGAGCCTCATGAGAACCAAACTGAGGATAAAAGAGTCGCAGAAACAGGAGCTGATAGAGAGGAAGAGGAAGGACTAGAAGGAGGCAGGAACTCTGATCCAGAGAGACATTTACATCCAGAGATTGAGGTCAAGATTGAAGACTCTTCTGAACCTGAGACTGAAGACTTTAATGTTGATTGGAAGGAGACCAGAGAACATGAGTCAGGTTTAAACTCTGTGGAAAACATGGAAGATAAGATCATACAGATACATAGCTGCTCTGAGTGTGGCAAAACATACAAGAAGAAACAGTGTTTGATCAAACACATAAAAAATCACTTCGAACAGAAACGCTACAGCTGCTCCGACTGTGGAAATAGGTTCACATGTAAAAAATCTCTGACCAGACACATGATAATACATTCAGATGAGAAACCGTTCACTTGCTCTGTGTGCGGTAAAAGATTCAACAATAAAGCCAATATGACCAGACACAATAGAATTCACACAGGAGAGAAACCATTCAGCTGCTCTGAATGTGATAAATCCTTTCAACTAAAGTATCATCTGACACTCCACATGGCTCATCACAGAGGGGAGAAACCCTTCAGCTGCAGCGTTTGTGACCAAAGATTCTCTTGGCCTTTCCAGTTACAGAGACACACTCGTGTTGGCTGTCCTTCTTCAGAGACTCATGAGAACCAAACTGAGCTAAACAGAGAAGCAGAAACAGGAGAGGACTGTGGAGGACCAGAACAAGCCAGGAACTCAGATCCAGAGAGACGTTTACAAACACAGACTGATGTCAAGACTGAAGACTCTTCTGAACCTGAGGGAGATGATTGGAGAGACCAGAGAACATCATCTAAAATCTGAAGACTTTGATGAGATGTAATTCGGTTGAGAAACTACTCTGCTGCTCTTGTAGTTTCACAATTACCTTCACGAGGGAGGTACACAGAAACTCTCACAGGAGAGGAAACTTAACTGTTGTGAGAACAAAAGATAACATTTATAAAACACTCTCTTACACCGTCAGTGTCAAAAGTGATTTAGTCTTTTAGATTTCAGGACCTTTGGATAATTCTTCTAATTCAATGTGTTGGTTTATATGGATTCATTTCTGAACGTTTAAGAATTCATCAGTTGTCATTTCTCTGTGCTGATAACATGGAACAATAAATGTGAACTTAATGTATATTTGGCTAGCTTGTGCTTATTTATTGATCCAAACATGATCCTCCCATCTGGTTCTGTGGGCTTCATGTCAGATGGATGGATGGTCATTGAAGAGAAGAGTTTGATTAACTGGACTTAACCTGTGAAGCAGCGGCAGAGGAGAGTCCACTTGAGGATGCAGATCAAAGTCATGTTTCTGATGAAGAGGAGGATTTATGTATCCTCTACTCCAGGTTGAGGAGAGGAAGGCTCTGTGGTATGTGCATATGTACCTAACAGCAGTTCAGAGTACACAGACTACTTGGAGTCTGGGTGCAGTCCTGGAGGACCCTCTAATGTTCTACTAGGACCCATATGGGCAAGGATGGAGACACCTGTAGGGGGGTGATTGGTTACTGATTGGCCAAAGAAACCAAACTTTCTGATTTAGAAATGGAGGAGTTTGTGAATGAAGTGAAGGATGAAATGGACATATGGATAGTTTACTGCAGCAGGAGGATCACAAACTGAAGACCAATCAGAGAGTGACACCACGTCGCTGCTGCATTCACCCAATCAGAGAGTGACACCACGTCGCTGCTGCATTCACCCAATCAGAGAGTGACACCACGTCGCTGCTACATTCACCCAATCAGAGAGTGACACCACGTCGCTGACATTCACCCAATCAGAGAGTGACACCACGTCGCTGCTGCATTCACCCAATCAGAGAGTGACACCACGTCGCTGCTGCATTCACCCAATCAGAGAGTGACACCACGTCGCTGCTGCATTCACCCAATCAGAGTGACACCACGTCGCTGCTACATTCACCCAATCAGAGTGACACCACGTCGCTGCTGCATTCACCCAATCAGAGTGACACCACGTCGCTGCTGCATTCACCCAATCAGAGAGTGACACCATGTCGCTGCTGCATTCACCCAATCAGAGAGTGACACCATGTCGCTGCTGCATTCACCAATCAGAGAGTGACACCACGTCGCTGCTGCATTCACCCAATCAGAGTGACACCACGTCGCTGCTACATTCACCCAATCAGAGTGACACCACGTCGCTGCTACATTCACCCAATCAGAGTGACACCACGTCGCTGCTGCATTCACCCAATCAGAGAGTGACCACGTCGCTGCTGCATTCACCAATCAGAGAGTGACACCACGTCGCTGCTGCATTCACCCAATCAGAGTGACACCACGTCGCTGCTGCATTCACCCAATCAGAGAGTGACACCACGTCGCTGCTGCATTCACCCAATCAGAGAGTGACACCACGTCGCTGCTGCATTCACCCAATCAGAGAGTGACACCATGTCGCTGCTGCATTCACCCAATCAGAGAGTGACACCATGTCGCTGCTGCATTCACCCAATCAGAGAGTGACACCACGTCGCTGCTGCATTCACCAATCAGAGTGACACCACGTCGCTGCTGCATTCACCAATCAGAGAGTGACACCACGTCGCTGCTGCATTCACCCAATCAGAGAGTGACACCACGTCGCTGCTGCATTCACCCAATCAGAGAGTGACACCATGTCGCTGCTGCATTCACCCTGTCCTCCTACAGCGCCAAAACATCCACCGTTCATCATTACGCACGAGTATATCTGCAATGTTTACATGTTTACATGTGTACATGTATACATGTGTACATGTTTACATGTGTACATGTATACATGTGTACATGTTTACATGTGTACATGTGTACATGTGTACATGTTTACATGTTTACATGTTTACATGTGTACATGTTTACATGTTTACATGTCTACATGTCTACATGTTTACATGTGTACATGTGTACATGTGTACATGTTTACATGTGTACATGTGTACATGTGTACATGTTTACATGTTTACATGTGTACATGTGTACATGTGTACATGTTTACATGTGTACATGTTTACATGTCTACATGTTTACATGTTTACATGTTTACATGTCTACATGTTTACATGTGTACATGTTTACATGTCTACATGTTTACATGTTTACATGTTTACATGTTACATGTCTACATGTTTACATGTTTACATGTTTACATGTCTACATGTTTACATGTGTACATGTTTACATGTTTACATGTGTACATGTGTACATGTTTACATGTTTACATGTGTACATGTGTACATGTGTACATGTTTACATGTGTACATGTTTACATGTCTACATGTTTACATGTTTACATGTTTACATGTCTACATGTTTACATGTGTACATGTTTACATGTCTCATGTTACATGTTTACATGTTTACATGTCTACAGTTCTACATGTTACATGTTTACATGTTTACATGTCTACATGTTTACATGTG